TATAAACACACTAAATATATATCTTTTAAATTTATCTTAATAAAATAGGATAAAACTAATAAATATATATAAATATATATTTTAATAAAACAGAAATCTTTTACTATGTTATTTAACCTATGTTTCTTTTATACACACATATGTACATATACCAAATAAAATAAGTTAAATACCTTTGAGTACCATAAAAATTGGTGAAAGTTCTTTAATTACTGGTCCCCCCATAAAGGCCATTAAAGCGCGGAATAAAACCCCTGTCATCCGTCGGACTGGAAGTGGCATCGGGAAACCATTACCTATTAAAATTCTTTTAAAAAAAAGTAAGTATTATAAACACACTAAATATATATCTTTTAATATTATCTTAATAAAACAGGGTATAACTAACGAATATTAAAATATATTTTTTAATGAACCAAAAATCTTTAATGATGTTGTTTAACTTGTTTCTATTACACATACATACAACAAATAAAATAAGTTTAATAACTTCGAGTACCATAATATTTTACGAAAGTTCTTTAATTACTGGTCCCCCCATATAGGCCATTAAAGAGCGGAATAAAAACTCTGTCATTCCTCGGATGGGAAGTGGATGGGAAGTGGCATCGAGGAACCATTACCTGCCCCAATAAAAGCTGAGTGGGCCTGTCGCCATGTGACTACGGTAATAACGACGGCATAAAATCGTAGGAAAGGAGAATCAAAACGCAAAAACAAGAGAGTTCCCCAAATGGGTGGGAAAAACAGAGAAGAGAACGAGAGAAACGGGGCACCAAATTGACTTAATTCCCTATTGTTGTTTTGGTTTTTTCCCGTTATTCTTTTTTCTCCGATTTCAGGGGGTGGAGTTAAACAGCTGATTTGATTTAAGAGAGAGAGAGAGAGAGAGCGAAAGCTTCGAATGGGTTCCACTTCCAGGGACTTCAAAGAGAGTGTTGTGTTTGGAGCTTAACCCACATTGCCGAAGAGGCCTGAAGCCAGGCCCGCGACGAACGGCATCTTCAGTCGTTGGAATACACTCGTGCGTCGTGGTCACAACTGAAATCGTCCTGTCGCGGGAAATTTGCACGTGGCAAAGCCAAAACGGTACTTGGTCCTTTCTCTTCTCTCGACCCCTCTCCTCGCGGTGTGCGTGTGTTGGTTTGTGCGGCTGTGTGGGTGTATCATCAAGCAAGCTGTAAATGTGAGCAATTGAAAATGTGTTTCAGGCAGAAGTTGTCCTTTTATCTATGCGAAATTAAAGCGAATCGACAAACACATCTACGTTTTCCTGTCTCTGTCTCTGTGTGTGTTTGTGTGCGTGAAATGTAAATGTATGCCAAGGCTTAAGAAACCGTTATGGAGCCGCGTCATCTTCTCTTTTGTCTGCTGCCTTGCGGCATTTCTTCGTCTTTATTTATTTTACGCTTTTTCCAGTCTCACACTTTCTTTTTTTGTGGCGTAGAATACCGTTTGCGGAATACCGAAAAAAGTACAATTTTGATGGCAATATAACGTTGGTCACATCGCTCACATTCCACTTAACGGTCATTGACGGCTCTTTTCCCCCCTTTTTTTGAGAGGGGGTCCTTAAAATTGCATGCCTTTATTTGCCCAGCACGACTTGCATGCAATTAGGCTCTTGTAAGCTTAATCGTCGTGAATGGAATAATTAAGCCAGGCAAAAGCCAACGACACCGTAACCCCCAAAAGTAGGCAAGCAAAAGTTTCAATTGCTGGCAGTTCCAGTCAAGGATCGCAATTATAGGCCACTTTCAGCTGACAATTTAGTCATTTTGCCTTAATTTGCTTATATCATTCACAATAATTATGATTTCTTTAAATTGTTTATATCTTACGGTAAGATGTTGAAAGGTCAGTCATTTTGTTCTCATTCCATCCAGCGGTATTATAATAAATTTATTTTATTTCCATATTTCATATATTATTGTTTTTATATGTATGCAAATACACATTTTTGTTTATTTGTTTCAAATGGATTATTATTATTATTTTTGCCAGTTTTGTTTATATTTCAGATATATTTATTTTATTACCATATTTCATATAGTTTTGGTTCTGTATGTATGTAAAAACATATTTTTTTTATTTATTATATAGTGGAATATATTAAAAATTAATCAGGGTTAGTCATTTGGTTTTCATTTAGTTCGGCAGTATTTACGCACCCGCATATTTAATATCGCAACTCTTTGACATTTTTATTTAGAATTTAAGTTGATTTATTTTATTGCCATATTTTTCATATATTATTATTTCTAATCCATATTTAATTTATTTTGTTATATTTTCCAAATTCATTTGGTACTCATATTGCACTGTAAATGTCTAATTTTTTATAAGCCCCACACAATATTTTTTATTTAGTGAATAATGGTTTATTTATTATTGAACATTCCAAATATCATTTATATGCCTCCAATAAGTGTGCCTTTTCAAGCAGTTTTCATTTTTCCGTTTTCCCCTCAACAATTAAAAACAAACATTTGGTTGATTTTATTTTCATTAGGGTTAAAGAGACCCATAAAATGGTTTCATGTTGATCCCTAGTTATGCCATCGGTCAAAAACTAGGCCAGAACTTAAAACCTGCCAAATAAAAACAGTCAATCAAAAAAATAAATTGAATTTTTACAACAGGGAGTGTGCCCTGTTGTTGTTTTAATTTCTTCGATAAAAACGGTTTTCATACATGAATAATGAAATCTGAGAATTCACCTTGTTGATACAAAAAAAGTAGTGAATCTTTTATAAACATGCCAGAACGAAAAACGAGTACAAAAATAGCGCACTTTTATTTATTTAAAGCCAAATAAAACAAATTAAAAGGAAACGAAAGCAGAGCGGCAATTTTAAATATGTATAAATGAAACCCCCATTTTTATAACCCAAAAACAAAAATCGAAATAAAACAAACAAAAAATGTAGCAAACGAATCAATTTTCAACAAAAGATCTAACGAAAAACGGAAAGCAACGACAAGCGAACAAAGGCAAATAAATGCTGAATCCTGTGAAAAGTGAAAGCAATTGAGAATCGCTTCAAAACATGAAATGAAATATTTTTCGGTGCAGGATATATGAAAAATCAACAGAACGGTTTCCCAATACTATATGCCAATAAGTGTGTGCGTGTGCAATTGTGTGAACACCTACAAAAGAAATAAAAAAGAGGAAATAGCAAATACAGAAGGAAAAAGGATACGCGACTGTCCCCAACTGACCGAATCCGAACTCGAGGATTATTATTTTCGCCAGCGGAGAAAACAATAAAACTGCCAGTGGTCATAAAAGCAGCAGTTATATACATGGATGCTCTATATATATATGTATAGATCAGTGACTTTCGCAAGGTAAGTCGAGCAGAAATAACGAAAAGAACATGCCATAAGCTTAAGTTGTCAATTTTCACAAGCCAGGATATGTTGAAAATAAATAATCGTTTCCACTTGCCAGGGGAGATCATCGAATGATTTACCCATCAAGGAAAATTCTGTTCCCTGTTCAGATCAATCACATTGTTGCCTAATTTACACAGCGTCAACAAAAATAAAATCAATTCAATGAAGATAAATGAGTTCAAAGTGAAAGCGGAGCTGCCAGACGCGTGTCTATATATAAAACCAGGGCCTTATCCTTATCCCTATGCCACCTTGGTGGTCTCCACTTTCACTAGCGATTGGCAGCGGTAATCAGCGATTACAATGTCATGAATCTAAATCCAAGTCGCAACAAGGACGCCGCAGTCACGTGCGTGTTGGGTAAAGGCAGCCGCAGGACCTTCTCCATAAGACGCAGGTGTTGCGTCCCCAGGATACCAGGAATAGGGCTAAGAATAGGGGCATCAAGTGGCGACGACAAGGCGCTTCGTAAGAGCTGCTTCCTCTGGTGGCCATTATTTACCCAGCCACCTAGCGGCTGTCATAAAAAGTTTCAGCTTATTACTCATACGCCCCCACGTCCACACTCTTCTGATGTGCAAGGAAATCATATTAATCATTCTGCCAATGATTGGGATGATTTCTTCTCAGCTCACATCCGTTTTTTTTTATTTTTTGCTGGCTTCCTTATCGATTTGTATACTTGGCAATGATAGACACGCACAAAGTTACCCAAAAAAATAGAAAAAAGGAAACACCTGCCCTGCTATATTTAGTTGGGCTCACTTTGCTCTACTCCAAAAATATGGTGCGGCTTTCCGGGGAGTGCATAAATTAGCGCAAATAATTATGCAGATTTTTTCCCCTTTTTATTGCCGTGTGCAAATCAACGCTGCCAGACGAAGAAAGACGAGCTTGTTTTGAACTTTTGAATATTTTAACGCTCCATAATTAGGCGACGGGCAAGGAACTCACTTGAAAATGTACCCCTTTCTCTACTAGTGGTGAACATTTGTCGAACGAACTTTGAAAATTTATTTCCGTGAACTTTGGCTTCCTTTTAATTCACACCCGAGAAGTGCGAGTCTGAACTTTAAATTTATTTTATTTTGAAGCATAGCGAAGCCACAACAAAAGTAAATGATGGCTACCATAAATTTAGTTGAATTACCAAAATGTTTTTAAATTTCTCATTTCTATATTGCTTTTTTAATTGAGTACAAAGATTTAATTAAAATTCACTCCTCATTCTTCTAATTAAATTATGAGCTTTTGTGTTCTTTTAATTTATTGCAACATTTTCACTGTAAATATTTATAATGGTAACGTCCTTTTTGAAAACTTTAATTGATGTTTAGTGTTTCTAGCAAACGGCTTTGAAAACTTTTATGTATGTTTACTTATTTTGATATGCCCATCATCTCCATTTAACTCATCTCTATTAGTAAAATTAAACAAACTTTAAAAGGATATTTGCCCATTAGACCAGAAGGATTGTGAGACAGCACAAGCTAAAAGGCATTGAGAACAATATTTTTTATCCTGTGCTATCTCACCTCTGGTTTTCATCATATATTTTTAATTAATGTTTTAATTTTTATTTAAGACTGTTTAATTGTTTAAGTAAATTAAAAAAGGCTTCGCTTTTCAAGATTAAACGTCGGTGTTTATGCCAAATTCAGTTCTTCAGAAAAACTATCCCCACTTGGTTTATTGCCCTTCATCTTTAGAGGGACGATGCCGAACTTTGTGGCTAGTTCCTCGAGAACGCACAGGGTGCAAGGTGACATGGTGAGTCCGCCCTGTTCGTCGACCATTTGCATGTGCTCCATCTCCTTGTCACCCGGCACCATCGCCGATTTTCCCACCTTGTTGGGCATCGCCTGTCTCAACAGCCGATGGAAATCACCCAGTCGGTCCTCGAAAGAGGGACAAAATCTCATCGGATCGATGGCCACATAAACTTGGCCCAAATCCGCTGGAGCATTTTCCGTACTATAGACTCCACGTCGCTGGATTTGATTTGCATATCGAGCACCTGTCATCACACCGCACAAAATGTCCACCATGGCGGCCATGCCGAAACCCTTGTGCTCCGGCTGAAAGGCTCGGATCCGTTGGGCCCTCAAAGCCTCCTCTGTGCAGGTGGTCTCCCGGCCATTCCTATCCAAAGCCACTAATTTGGGCACTTCCTTTGACCAGCCATTGCAATAGGATAGCTCCAGTTCCTCCACCGAACATGCAGCCATACCAAAATCGGCCAGGAATTGTTCATGGACACCGGAAGCGGCACAGGCAATTGGATTTTCCCCCAATATGGGTTCGATTCCTCCCGCAGGCACCAGAGTGGGAGCTCCATTCGTCATGCAAAGACCAATCATTCGCTGTTCCAGAGCTTGACAGGCATACCAGGAGGCGAATCCGATGCAGTTAGAGCTGCGAGCGGAAACCCATCCAATGCCCACTTCCCTGGCTTTTTGCAGGGCCAGATCCATGCAAAAATTGGCCACCACCGGACCAGGAGCATTGTGGCCATCTACCAGTGCGATGGCCTTCTTTTCGGACACAATTCCCGGTGTGGCATCACCCACAACGGTGCAATTCAGAAGATCCGCTGCAATGGCCGGCAATCGATGAATGCCCATGGAACGCTGGCCCATATAATCGGCGGCTATCAGGGCATCAGCCATTTCACTGGCCGCTTGTTTAGGCACCTGCATGGCGGCGAATACCTGGCTAACGAATCTCTGGGCCTCCAGGACATCGACCAGCCGGCACGAGTCCTTCATCCGCTTCTCATCCTCAACGCCGCCGGGTTTCCTCTGACCACCGCACATGAGCAGCACCCTCTTGATATTCTGCCAGAGCATTTCGGATCCGGGTGGTGTCCTTTGAGGGATTGCCTCTATATCATCGATATCCTCTTTGGAATCGTTTATCCACTCGTTATCCTTATCACAAAATTTGGCCGATCCTAAGCTTTTTACCGCCTGGTTGGTGCTGACAAAGTTCTCCATGGACAGTTTGAGTCGCACCTTTCGCAGGGCATTCAAAAAGTTGACCATTATCCCCATTTTCTCGGGCTTCCTATATATGTTATTTGGTTTTTGAAAAATATGTTCCTATAGATTTTGTTGTATTTGTCTAAGGTATAATAAAAAGGTATAAGTCAAAAAGAGTACAAGATATGCTACGGGCCGTTTTCTCAATGTCCGGTTAAGGTCTAGTTTGCTAACTGTGAGATATAGTTAACATAAACTTAACATTTTATGATTTTTATAAATTTGTTTTCTCAATATGATGTTAATTACAGAGACAAACTCTTTTTTGCCAGTTTCTTTTCATCGACCAAGAAATTTAACCTGCGCATTTCCTCCGGTTAAGAGTTTGAATGTTTGCAAAGGAGCTATTCAACCCAAACACATAAGTTAACATGACATTGAGAAATTGGCCTAAAGTTACATTTTGATTTGTTGCCCATGAAGCTCTATTCATATTTCCTAGTGTAATACTTGTTTATCGTTATTGGAACTACTTGTTTAAGGAATGTAATTCGTTAATGTCCCAGCAACAACATTTTTAAAAAAAACTTTCATCAAAGCTAGTTTGCTTTGATATTCATCACATTGTTTTCCCAACGGTTGGCTCCTGGGGACAGCTCACATTTCACAAAAGTTGGTGCACATAAAAATATACATATTTTATCCCAAATAAGCATGCATATCCAAATGAGCTACTTTTGTATCCACAGCTACCACTCGCTGTGCGTACTTGAATTGTCAGCGCAGAAACAACGAAATATCAGCACACAAATAAGCAGAGTAATGCCAAAAATGGAAAAACAAATGCGATGCAAAAGCTTAAAAAATGCACACAAATTGCACTGGCACAGTTAAGGATGTGTAAAGTAACCTTGAGGCAGGCATATACATGCCACACAAATATGTACATAAATGTGCAGATACATTTACAGATACATTTTGAGGGTACCAGATGCACATTGCACGGTTTTCAGGGTGTGTTTTCAAAAATGTGCCAGTGACCTTGTTTATTCATGTGGCCGCCCAACTCGTTTCACATAAAAATAAAGCAGCACTCAAATTTAACACTTTCTACATACATTTTTTATACACCGCCAGGTTTATTATGGGGAATAAATGTATTATGCTTGCATTTCATATTCATGATAATAAACGACCAATTAGTTTTCACGGCTATGGTAAAAAAGCTGATTGAATTAGTCATCGGTCAACAGTTGGGTTCTGAATCGATAATCCAAACAAATAGGTATTTTAATAACCATTTATTTATGTCTGTTGTGTTTCTCTTTAAATAAATAAGTCATATTACTTTATTTATTGTATTTAATCAGATGGAAAAATGTCTACATTATCTTGAGGTCTATTTAAGAGAATTACAGGGATGGATTGTTTTAAAAATCTATACTAATATGTTACTTTTTAATTTCCATTTTCCAGATCACGATGAAATCCAGCCAGTTTGGTACTAGTCTCGTCATCCCAGCCCATCAGCACAGATAGTTTAAATGACCAGAAAGAAATCACCTCAATCCAGAGCCACATCGAAATAGGTGAAGACAGTTGGACCGTAGCTCGGTCAGATCGCACAACTTGAAGCTCCACTGTGCTGTCATGGGTGAAGGTCAGCTGCTTCTCTTGCTGCGACTCCTGCTGCTGCCGACAGTCCTCTTGGGCTGTTTGGACTGTGCGGAGGCCTCCACGGCGGACATCTACAAGGGAGCCCGGCTGGGCCACCGCATCGTCCAGACGCGCTACGGGAGGCTACATGGACTCATCCTGCCGCTGGACAGCTTCCGCTTCCTGCGATCCGTGGAGGTCTTCCTTGGAGTGCCCTATGCCACGCCACCCACCAAACAGAATAGGTATGTGGGATTGGCTTTAAAATTGATCAATGAAATGTATATCATTAGCTGTGAGATTTTCTTTGAAAAAATTACTGTGATTCTTGCTTTACATGTCAAAAATGCCACTACTTTTACTATTGTCTACGAGAGCTGTATAAATTACCCAATTTGAAAAGAAACTAACAATCTATTTACTCTTGCCCTCAAGGTATCTAAAAATCACCAAGTTTGGAAAATGAAATACCAAAATATCTTTGTAGGTTATTTAAAATAAAAATCACAAATAATGATTATTTTCGGTCCCTGATGTATAACCTTCTTTTTTATTTTGTTAATGTAACTTAGAATCTAACTATTTAAATAAATGTATCCCAAAGCTTATATTAAATTTATATATAAAAAATCCACGAAGGAGCCCCAAAAAGCTCTGCATAATTTTGTAATGCAAATTATTACCTTTTGTGATTCCATTATATTAAATATTCCACCTAATCCTGCCTTTACAAAAAAAATCGGTTTGAATCTTTAATCTTATAAAGCTTTTAATTATACAAAAATTATGTAATCTCTGAACGCTTTGCTAAAGAGGTTAAATGTTGTTAAAAGTGTCATAAGTTCTCAGTAAACTGGAAACTTCATTTCTTAAAAGATATTTTTATAATCAACAAAATTAAGGAGTTTAGGGATTGGTTTTCAAGAAAATTCGTACAAGATTTAGGGGCATATTTTTCCCTTTTACCTTTATATTTTTCTTATTGCTTAAGAGGATTTATTTTCCATCATAAAATCCATTATATTAAAGTAAAGATTTTCATTTTCATTTTTCAGGTTTAGTCCCACGAGAGCTCCGGCGCCCTGGGATGGGATTCGGATATCGGATAAATACAGTCCCGTGTGTCCGCAGCGACTGCCCAATATCCAAAACGAGACGGCGGCGCTGGAGAAGATGCCCAAGGGACGCCTGGAGTACTTAAAGAGACTGCTGCCCTTTCTGGAAAACCAGTCGGAGGACTGCCTCTACCTGAATGTCTTTTCGCCAGTGAATGGTAAGTGCTATAATAAACTTAAAGAATCCCAGTCCAGTCACAATTCAGGAACAAAAAGCAAAAAAGCTGAAAAAGCAGCACATAAATCTCATTTAAATTCAATTAATTAAGATTAATCGTACGACACGTAATGCCAATAATTTCTACGCAAAAGAAAACCGAGAGCTCACGTAACCACTGCGCAAATCTTATCGCAAGTGCCACCCCACTAAGCTCACAATCCCGTCGAGAGTCCGTGGAGAATCCGGGGGGAATCGCTAATCTGAGGCGATTCCTCCGCCGAAGTGCTGGCAAAATCCGCTTTGCACGCAAACGGAAACGTTTAATGGGTCATGAGCGCTCCCGGGCACTTGCGATTGGCGGTGTGTTGAAAGGGAAAAACGCGATATCACAAGTTTTGAAATACAACCAAAAAAGAAATACCTACAACTACCTACTATATTTGTATCATGATTTCAACGGCTGATATACACTAACACTCTGCATTTTGTTCACTCCATTTTTGCGTTTTGTCAGCCGGGGCCAATGAGAAGAAATTGCCGGTGATTGTGTTCATACACGGCGAGTCCTTCGAGTGGAGCAGCGGAAATCCCTACGACGGCAGTGTCCTGGCCAGCTATGGAGAGGTGGTGGTGGTGACACTCAACTACCGGCTGGGGATCTTGGGTATGATACCTATATAGAAAATATTTGAATATATTAGGGACTAAGTCTGGAGGACATATTTGCAAATACAATGCATTCCTGTTATGTCAAGTCAAAATATAAATACTAAAGTCCTGTTTAAAGTAGGAAAACTGATGCTAAGCCGAAAAAAAATAGTCATAGAAAGTCATAATATATGTTATATTAATTTTGCACTATAGAGTATCGATTAGGCGTCGATAATATGAGTATTAAATTGATACATTTCAAAGTATACAATTGAAAATAATTAATTTAAAAATATCACCACAAATCCAAATTCTATGCTCTTTAATATAGAAATGAAACTGCAAATTATAGACTTTATATAGTTTAGGCTTGAATCTATACTTTAATTTTATCACTTCCTCTGGTATACTTATAATACAACCGATGTCTTAACTTGTCCTTACATTTTTTTTGTTTGGGTGTAGCATAATATTTAGGGATTTAAAAGATGTTTAATTTGATATTCATAATAGTATTGATTACCCCACAGGTTTCCTCAATGCCAATCCCAATCCACATGCCCATGCGAGGGTGGCCAACTACGGGTTGATGGACCAGATGGCCGCTCTCCATTGGATCCAGCAGAATATTCAAAAGTTCGGGGGAGATCCCAACTCGGTGACCTTGGCAGGTCATGGAACTGGGGCGGCCTGCATCAATTACCTGATGACCTCGCCCACAATGGTCAGGGGTCTCTTCCATCGGGCCATTCTCATGTCCGGTTCGGCCTATTCATCCTGGGCTTTGGTCGAAGATCCCGTGCTGTTCGCCATCAAACTGGCCAGAGAGGTCAACTGCACCATTCCCGAGGACATCAATCGGCACCACGAGCAGATCGTCGACTGTCTGAGGGATGTGCCGCTGGAGGACCTCTACACCGCCGATATTCAGGCGCCCAACTTTCTCACATCCTTCGGACCATCGGTGAGTTTATAATGTTTACCAATCAGTTTATTTATTACCTGATTAAAACAAAATGTTGGCATACTTTATAAAATACATACATACTTTCACAATCATAATTCTTTTAAATAAATATATTAGGTTACTTTTCTAACATTGAAAGTTATAATGAAAGATAGATTGCTTGCATTCACTTGGTAATTTTAAAAATATATATAAAGTTATAGATAAATTTATCATAACTTTAAAAATCTATACAAGTTTGAAAGCTTGTTTAATAAATTGCGAACAATCATATTTTTTCATTGCATACGCTAGGTTCATTTATAAAATATCTATGCAATCAAAAATATTTTTTAAATTCAAATTAATTCTTAGGCCCTAATATTTTATTTCAGAATTATTTAAAGAAAATAAATTTTTTCATTGAACTTTAATGATTACATTTTTTCCTTGTACTTTTTGATAAAAATTCAATGGCATCTTAGAAAAGATTTAGACATTGCAGGACACTTCATTTAAAGCCATTGATTTCGCTTTTTGCGGGACTTGCTCCTTTGTTCGATCCCCGCTTCAATGGACTTTATTACTTACTCAAACCCCCCTCCCCCTGAGT